AGCTAGAGACGAGCAGGGGGCTACAGGAGGTTATGAGCTCCCGCCCAGCAGCTTCCAGTGCTCACGCTGTTCCCCACAGCCCTCGCCTGCTCAACGAGGAGGACAAGGGAAGAAGGAAGAGGTGAAGAGTCAGCCGTACATGCAGGGGCTGGACATGGCGGACAAGCAGCTGAAGCTAGAGGAAGAAGTTCTGATGTGATGAATACCTCCTCCTCCTCCTCACCACCACCACCACCACCACCACCACCACCATCATCATCATCATCATCATCACCATCACCATCATCATCATCATCACCATCCTCCTCCTCCCTCTCCTCCTCCCTCTCCCTCACAGCCGTGAGCTGCAGGCTGCAACGTGATCTCGAAGCTCTTTCCCACTCCTTCAACACTTCCAACGCCTCCAGCAGGGCCGGCAACGAGAGCGAGCATGCTCAGGCGTCAGAGCAGGAGGCCTCGACGCCGGAGAGGAGGGAGAGGAGGAGGGCGAAGAAGAACAGGAGCAGCATGGAGACAGAACTTGTCTACTCAACTCCCTCCTCCCTCAACAACGGGAGTTTGAAGGTGTGCAGTACTTCAGCGGTCAGGTGAGATCAGTGACTAGCCCCAGGGTCGCCTTGAGAGGGCGATGCGGAACAACAAGCTCCTGCGAGGAAAGCTTTCGCGGGTGAAGTGCTGTTTCTTGTTGCTGCTGATAGATGGTGGTGATGATGATGATAGAGATGATTGTTAATTGAGATGATGATGACGACGACGATGAAGATGATGATGATGAGGAGGAGGAGGAGGAGGAGGAGGAGGAGGACTATGACGTCTGTGAACAACTTCGATGGACGTGTATCTGTCTTTCCTCCTGTCCCTCCTGTTGACCGTCCTTGTATTCGCATCCTCCTCCTCATTATCCTTCGTACAGGCAGAAGACAGTCTGCGCAGAGAACAGAAAGAGAATCAAAATCTGAAGTCAGAGCTCAAGAAAGCAAACTCGCAGATCGAAGAACTCAAGAAATCAACAAGAGTGCGAGACAAGGTCGAAGACTGTCTGTTGCGGACAGTCAGATGATACATCACAGTCCTGATCTCACATCTTTGCACTGATTGTCTATCTTCGTGCATGCAACTCCTTGTTTCTGACACGTCTGCCTTGCCTGTCAGCTCAAGTTGGCGCTGAGTGAGAGCGAGAACATTCGAGAACGGCAGAAGATGTACATCGCAGAGCTCAAGGCTCAGGTAAACATGGCAAGAGGTCTCCTCCAGCTCCTGATCCCCTGCTACCGCTCAGCTGGAAAGAGCTAGGTCGAAGAAGAAGTGAGGAGGAGAAGCTGAATGTTGATATTATTTTTCTGCTGCACAACAACACCTCCAATGATGATGAACAATCTCGAAAACCTCGAATGATGACGATGACGATGATAATGGAGATGGAGATGGTTATGATGATGATGGTTATGATGATGATCATGATCATGATCATGATGATGATGATGATGATGATGATGATGTTAAAACTAATAGAACTCTGTCACGACAACTGTCGTGTAAATGAATCTTTGACGCTGATTTGAAGTTTCTGTAAAATTTCGTACTCAGACCTCATAGTTTAAAAATTACTTTTAAAATTTCGAAGTTGCAACCCTAAATTCTGTTTCCCTCTCTCTACCCCTTATCATTCAGTCACACTGACCCCTAGTATCTATCACCCCTCCTAATACCCAACGAAGTACCCCACCTCATCTTCTCCAAACCTCTTTACAGCCCTAGACTCCACCGGTGGTTGCGGTACCACCCCTTCACTCTACAGGAAAGGGCACATGATGTGAGGGTGGGGTACTTGTTTTCACCCCCATATATCCTAGCGATAGGGTGGAATTTGGGGGGTAGGGGTGAGTCATGGGCTCATTGGTACTTCGGAGCCGCCTTGTAGGTGGGTCAGGGTGCCCATACAAGGAAGATGATTAGAGGGGAGTGCGAGAACAATGTAGGAGAGGAGGAGGAGGAGGAGGAGGAGGAGGAGGAGGAGGAGGAGGAGGAGGAGAACAAGATGGAGTAAGAGCAGAAGGACACGGAGGAAGATAAAGAGGAAAAGATCATGACAGTGAACAACTGAGGAAAGCGATCATATAGGTTTCGATTGCAGGACGGAGACGAAATGGAGAGAAGAGCGAAGGGTTGAGGGATGAGGGTGGGACAGGAGTTGATTGAGACAGGGCAATAGGTGGGACTCGAGCAAGAGGGTATAGAGGAAGCTGGAGCAGAGAAAGAGTGAAGGAACGGGTCTTGAGCAGAGGTAGCTAAGATCTTGGAACCTCGTGAGGATCAGGAGATGGCGCGAGGAGGTGGGATGACATGGGATCTAGAGGATACTAGAAGAAGGACCTTTACGGTCATGACAGGACGGATGGAGGAGGTGGTGGTGGAGCGTCAACAGCCTTCCTGCTCCCTTTGAAACGACTGAACTGAACTGGCAGGTCTCCTTTGGGATTGATGACAGTTTGCTGAAAACTGCCTGTCAACCTCGTCCCCCGACATGCTGCCAACTTGTCGCCACTCACTCTCTCGCCTCCTCCATGCCCTGCTGCTCCTGGTCCATCTCAGCTCCAGCTTCTCCTTCACTTTGCCTACCATCTCCCCCAAGCAAGCCCTTCCAATGTCGGGCCGTTGGCATGCCGACGGAGCTCGAGGGCTTTTGATGGCCCTGCGGCCCGAGGGGAAGGAGGAGGGGAGGGCGAGGCAAGTGAGGAGCAGGAGGAAGGAGACAGCCGTTGTGTCGTCGCTGCATCCTGTGGCGAGGAACTACAAGCAGGAGAGGTTCACCCCCGGGATGCAGTCGGCGAGGTCGCTCAACTCGAAGATCAGGAGGAGCGCAAGCATGGCCTCTCTCTGCAGCCTCGTGGAAGACAATCGGGGGGAGCTCAACAACGTCAACGTGGCTACGGCCTTCTACATGCTGGCGAAGCTGCAGCCGAGGCGCGCTGGGGCAGGAGGAGAGGAAAGGATGGAGATGCAGGAGTCGCTTGCGGTGCTGGGAAGTCAGGCGATGGAGATGATCTCCTTCTTCGACCAGCAGCAGGTCGCCAATGTCCTCTGGTCCATCGCCAAGATGGATCGCCCAGCTTGCGACGAGCTGGTGGTTGCGCTGAGGCGACGAGCTGCCGTTCTGATGCTCCGTGGGGAGTTTGCGCCTCAGCATGTGGCCAACAGCCTGTGGGCGCTGGCGAAACTTGGGGAGAGGATTGAGGGGGAGCTGGCAAGGGCCGTGAGAACCGCCATGCTTAAGGAGGTGGAGGGGCTGAGCGCGCAGGAGACGGCGACGAGCATGTGGGCGATGGCTAAGGTCGGTTTCGACCCCGGGGAGGAGGTGATGAGAACGCTTGTTGGGCATGCAAACGAGATTGTCGCGTCCTTCAACGCGCAGGACGTGTCGAACTTCCTCTGGGCGTCAGCGAAGTTGGGCTACGTGCCTGAGGAGGCGACGATGGTGAAGCTCCGCAGGAGGACGTCCAAGATCGCCGGGGACTTCAGCGCCCAGGGCATCGCCAACGTGCTGTGGGCCATGGGGACGCTATCGAGCAGGACGGGGAGGATGGCAGAGGAGGAGATGGTGCGAGCCGTGTGCGCGCGAGCATGCGAGGTGTGCGAGCAGTTCAACGGGCAGGCGGTGGCCAACAGCTTCTGGTCGCTCGCGAAGCTCGGAGCTGCGAACCAGCAGCTGGTGGTGGGGCTGACGAGAAGGATGATGGAGGTGGCGGATTCGCTCAAGGCGCAGGAATTGTCGAACATCCTCTGGGCACACGCGCGGCTCGGGCTGACGTTCGGGGAGGAGGGGCTGCTGCTGCTGACCCGCCGGGCCTCCCGCGTGTCGCATCTCTTCAACGGTCAGAACGTCGCCAACGCCCTCTGGGCCTTCGCCAAGTCCGGCAGGACGCCATGCCCGCAGCTCTACCGGCAGCTCAAGGACCGCGCGCTGCAGCTAGAGGAGGAGCTGAGGCCCCAGGAGGCCTCCAGCATGCTGTGGTCCCTCGCAAAGCTCAAGGACAGGGACGAGACGCTCGTCCTCCGCCTCCTCCGCCCCCCCCGTCGCATCGCCAGCCTCAACGCCCAGGGAGTCGCCAACGTGCTGTGGGCGCTGGCGGCGCTGGAGGTGAAGCCCGAGGAGGAGGCGATGGCGACGCTGATGGCGCGAGCGGAGGCGATGGCTCCTCATCTCAACGACCAGGCGACGGCTGTGTGCGTGTGGTCGTTAGAGAAGCTCGGGGAGAAGAAACGAGCCTTCTCGCTCGCGTTCGGGGGGAGACGCGAGGGACTGAGGGAGATGCCTGAGGTGATGTAGATAAGAGGAGGAAGAGGAGAAGACGCAAGCTTAGATGTTTGTGCTGCAAACTTACATGTGTAAATATAAAAACCTCAAATGATATCTCAAACTATCCCTTCAAGGTTGCTTGCTTCCGCCTCCTCGTCTGAACCCTTGTGGACTACTCCTCGATCTTCGCATGCTTCACCTTTCTCCCTCTCCCTCCCTTCTCTTCATCTCTACCCGACAACCCGAACACTCGCTTGTCAAGTTCATATCAAGTTTACTTCCATCTCACTACAAAATTACACGACGACCCTGTCGTCAGGCTTTCAAGTCACTTCACTCTAGTTGGTGATGACCAGGTTGGAGCTCGTCCTGTTCTCCTCCACCTTGATCGACAAAGCAGGTGCCACGTGCCCTGGGCCCCCGAAGAAATCCCCCAGGATGCTCTCCCCATGCTCCGAGAGGTCCAGCCCCTTCTCCTCCGCCTCGTCGCTCACGCGCAAGCCATGGCCGGTGGCCGCGCGAAGAATCTGCAGAGCCCGTCAGAGAGGAAGAGGGCGAGTGAGAGGATGTAGGGAAGCAAGCGGAGGAACAGAAAGAGGGACAGGGGAAGGAAAAGAAGAAGCTGAGGAGGTGAGAGGAGGTGAGAGGAGGTGAGAGGAGGTGAGAGGAGGAGAGAGGAGGAGACAGGAGAAGCGAGGAGACGTTCACTCACCATGTCCATGGGCTTGAGGATGATGAGAGTCATAACGAACGAGTAACTGACAGTGATGAGGATACCAGCGATCTGATGCCCGAGCTGACAACAACGTGAGCGACTAGCGAGCGTCTCCTCTCCTCCCCCCTCCCTTCCCCACCCCTCCTCCCCTCCCCTCCCCTCCCCTCCCCTCCCCTCCTCCCTCCCTTCCCCACCCCTCCTCTCCTCTCCTCTCCTCTACCTGCGTTGGGTTCCCGTAGAACGCTCCGTTGGTGCCTCCGATCTTGGCGTCGGCAAAGCAGCCAGTGAGGACTCCTCCGACCATACCGCCGATAGCATGCACGCCAAAGGCGTCGAGAGCATCGTCATAGCCCTGAGAGGAGGGGTAAGGAACAGGGTTATGAGAAGAGAGGAGGGAGGAGGAGAGGAAGGCAGGAGGGGAGGACTGACCAGGTAGTGCTTCAGCTGGATGCCTCCGAAGCAGATAGGACCTCCGATGACTCCCATCACAAACGCTCCCGTCGGGTTCACATAGCCAGAGGCAGGAGTGATAACCACCAGTCCAGCTACTGCACCACTGCAAAAGAATGTCAGAGGAGCAGAGGGAGGGGAGGAGAACATGAAGTGCAAGAGTGTGAGGGAGAGCAAGAGAGCAAGACGAGCGGGAGGAGAGCAAGAGGAACAGGAGGGAGGGCAAGAGGAGGAGGAGTGCGAGAGGAGGAGAGGAGGAGGAGAGGCATCTACCTAACAAGGCCGACCATACTCGGCTTCTTCTTCACGAGCCACTCAGTGAACATCCATGACAAGCCAGCCATGGCCGCAGCAATCTGAGTCACGAGAGCCGCCATGCCGGCTGCTCCATTGGCAGCCACAGCTGAACCCGCGTTGAAGCCAAACCACCCGACCCACTGTGAGCAAGTGAGGGGCGAGTGAGGAGGAAGCGGAGTGTGGGGAGAAGAAGGGGAGGGGAGGAGAGGGAGGGGAGGAGAGGGAGGGGAGAAGGGAGGGGAGGAGAGGGAGGGGAGAAGAAGGGAGGGGAAGAGAGGGAGGAGAGTATAGCTGAGCTCACCAGGAGAGAGGCTCCAAGGAAGACGAAGATGACGTTGTGAGGAGGGAGCTCCTGTCCTTGAGCGAAGCCCTTCCTCTTCCCTACGATCAAGGACGCGGCGAGACCAGACACGCCCGAGCTGATGTGCACGACATCTCCTCCGGCAAAGTCGAGAACCTCGAGCTTCTGACCCATGAAGCCGCCGCCCCACTCCCAGTGAGCGATGGGGCAGTAGACGAGGATGTGCCAGATGGAAATGAAGATGAGCATCGGCCCGAAGCGCATGCGCTCAGCGAAGGAGCCGGTGATGATGGCGGCGGTGATGATGGCGAAGGTGAGCTGAAAGAAGATGTAGACAGTCTCGGGGATGGTGCCTATCAAGGAGTCCGAGGTGAGGCCCGTCAGCCACATCCTCGAGGTCCCTCCGTAGAAGGAGTTGCCGCTCGCAAACGACAGCGAGTAGCCCAGCGCGAGCCACCAGAAGGTGACGAGGCAGGTGATGGCGAAGCTCTGAATGACAGTCGAGAGAACGTTTGGAGTCCTTGCGAGGCCTCCGTAGAAGAGAGCGAGACCAGGGATTGTCATCATGAGAACGATTGCTGATGAAGTCAACATCCATGCTGTGTCTCCAGAGTCCATTGAGCTTGACATTGTTGCTTGCTAAACTTGCTTGTTTGAAGAGAGTAGTATTGATGTCACGAGAAGCCTGTGCTTGTACGAAAACTTGTCTTGTCTGCGGCTGCTCTTCCTCGAAGGGGGGGAACAGGTTGCTACCTGGACTGCCGCCCTCAACTTATATGGGAGTCCCTGGCGTGAACCATTATTCAACAATGAACCAATCTATTTGAAACTTAAGCCAACAATTTCAAAATCTATTCAAGGGCTGCGACCTCGCGACCTTTTAGAGCCACAAACTTGAGGCCTTCTGGGTGAAATAGTGAGGGGATGAGGAGCGAGGGGGGTAGGTGAGGGAGGGGACAGGGGTACTGGGTGTGCTGGGGAGAAGGGTACGTAGGGGGGGATTTCCGGGGGTAGTGACAGGGGGATGCTGCAGGGAGGGGTGGGGGTAGTACAGAGGAAAGAAAGAAATGCAAAGATAAGGGTGGGGGTAAAACTTACCATGTGAGGGCGGGTCATGGTACCCTTGGTGCCGCTGATTCAAAGGGGGGTGGGGGTAGCATAAGTGGGACCACACTGAGAGCATAAGTGGGACTAGGGCCTCTCATTCAGACTCTTCAGTGATGGCAAAGACTCTCCGTACGGTCAGTACCCCCAGGGGGTGGGGGTCACTGAGTTCAAGTGAGGGACTCCCGCCGGTACGGTCACGAGTCAGGTAGCCTAGCCTACTAGTATGAACGTCACCGTACTGATATGATAGTACGGTATGATGATCAGCCTGGGGGTGAGGGGGGTGGCCCCAGTGGTGACGGCGAGTAAATCCCGCCGGGTACAAATAACGGCTCGCCTCGCTTGGGGTTGAAGAAGGTGAAAGGCTACGAGATCGCAGCCCTTTGCCTCTAAGACAAACTCATCGAGCACGTACCTCGTAAACCAGGTGCCATGATTAAGTAAAGTCGCACCGTACGGCTCACGCTGATCCGCGCACTGCGGGGCCACTGACTGCGGCCGCTCACGAGACTGTCACGTGAGCACTGCAGCGGTTTCCGAAGTTCCGAACTTCCGAAGGGGAAGCGGCCCTGACGGTTCTGCCGATCCGGACTCCGACGCCGCCGGGGCTCGGCGAGTCGGGAGGCCCCCGGCTGGGCCGCGCACTCCGGCGGCCCGGAGTGCCGGCCGCCCAGACGAGTCCGATCACTCAGCCGCCGAGAGCTGAGCGGCGCCCGATCCGAGTCCTGGCACTGCGGTACGGTACCGGCGTACCGTACCGTACCGGCCCGCCGCCGGAGTCCCCCGGGCCCCCGGGCCGGGCCGGGCCCCGCCGCCGCGGGCGTCTCGCCGCGCGGCCGTGCCACGGTGACTCGGACGCGGCCACCGCCCCGCCGGGCCGCCCGCCGGCAGCCCGGCCCGGCCTCCGAGCGAGGCCCTAGGCCGCGGGCCCTGAGTCAGGCGCAGGCAGTGACCGGCACGGCCGGCGGTACGGTCCGACGGTCGGACCGCCCCCGTCACGGTACTACGCCGCCGGGCCCCGGGCCCGTTTGTTAGACTTGTACTAGTCCAAAGTCACGCAGATATCACATCGACCTTACTACCGTTGTAACAAGACAGTTTTTGCTCAAGACCGAGTTTAATGCACACAAAACCAGAATTGAGGAGCACATGAGAGATAGACTGTATGCTAGGATGTGAAACCCAGGGCCAAGCATCCAGACATGAGAGGACCTTAGCAAGACGGCTAGGAAAGCCCCCTCTTCGTCCCACACGCTACATTGCCGCCTCGCAAAACACGTAAGTCGTCTTGGTTTACAGGAGAGTTTTTGTTAACAGGCTCGGCGCTATCTGACTGGCACGGCTGGCATACGTTCCATCCTCCCGGGCCCCCGAGTTTCTGAAATAGTGCGTTACATCGGACGTCAGAAAGTCACACAAACAAGCCTGTCAGCAGAGTTCCAAGTCGAGATACGAGAAGACTGTCTGCGTCAAGTTTACAGTTATGCTGAGTGGGCAATAACCATTCAAGGATTGTCCATTCTGAAGAAGATTTTCATGCAGGGCTATTAGATGTGCAGTGCAGAGATAAGGGAGATGCCTGGCGAGCTGATGCAATGACGAGAGAAGGAGGATAAGATAAGAGAGTCTGAGGAGAGAACTTCAGATAACAGAGAGAGAGAGAGAGAGAGAGAGAGAGAGAGAGAGCGTGCCCGCCGGCATTTGAAGACCAAAAGATAAATTTTTGAACCGTAAAGAACTTGTGACCAGAGATTGCTGCCGCGAGATTGGAACCATGATCCGTTTCAAGGCATTTGAAGATTGTTGTGCAGTAGTACCTTGTTCGCCGATCCAGAAGTAGCTCCAGTTATGCATGCCACAGCCTAGCTCCATGACATGAAACTTCCGCCAGATCTCCTGGTAGTTCCATTTGATCCTACTCAAAGATCAAGAAAAATAAGAATCGAATCAGCTTCAAGTGCGTTTCCACACGGTTAAGCAGATATTCGACCGACCAATCTGGCTGGGGAAAGGCTTGCCAATTCGAAGATCAATCAAACAAATTGAAGCTGAGATGAGAGGCCTAAACAACTTGCGGCTAGAGAGAGAGCCTGATTGAAGAGAGGAGTCATCCGAATGTGTAAGGCTTGATAAAAATTGCATGAATTTTCAACAGCAACGGAAAACAATACCAAGAAAGAAAAAACTCCAGTAAACAATTCAACTAACCAAATATAAGATCAACATGATTGAGCATGTAATCGAGGCTCATAACCGACGGAATACAAGTTTGTTAGACTTGTACTAGTCCAAAGTCACGCAGATATCACATCGACCTTACTACCGTTGTAACAAGACAGTTTTTGCTCAAGACCGAGTTTAATGCACACAAAACCAGAATTGAGGAGCACATGAGAGATAGACTGTATGCTAGGATGTGAAACCCAGGGCCAAGCATCCAGACATGAGAGGACCTTAGCAAGACGGCTAGGAAAGCCCGGCCCTCCGGGCCGGTCGTCCCACACGCTACATTGCCGCCTCGCAAAACACGTAAGTCGTCTTGGTTTACAGGAGAGTTTTTGTTAACTCGGCGCTATCTGACTGGCACGCCGTGACGGCTCAGTGGCATACGTTCCATCAAACCCGCGGGGCCGCAGTACGGTACCGGGTGACCCGGTACCGCGGCCGCGCCAGTGACCCGGGGGCGGCCGCCCGGCCGGCGACGAACCGTACACGGAAACGCCGTGACGGTGAACCGCGGCGGCGCCCGCGGCGCGGGCCCGGCCCCCCGCCGACGCCGCCGGGTGCCGCGGCTGTGCGCGGCGGCCCCCGGCCGGTCAGCTCCGAAGTACCGGCGCCGCGGCGCCGTGCGGCCGCGCCCGGGTCAGTACGCGGCCGCGCGGTACCGTCCGTACGGTACCGTACTACTACGGTATCCGATCGGGGCCCGGAATTTGCTTGAACTTACTGAGGCCGCTTCGAGTTCGGATGACTGATGGTTCAAAAAGGCGTGTACCACTTGAAGGACTACCCACCACCGCCTTTAAGTTGGTCGGCGGTAACCCAAGCTAGCCGTATGGGGTAGGGTAGTAGCAGAATAGATTTAACGTAGGGGTGATGGATAAAAGAGTAGAAACGAGGGGTAGGGTGGGGATATATGTACGGGTGGTGTGATATGGAGCTGGGGTAGGGTCAGTGCAAGCGCAGGAATTTGAAAATGGAGGGAGGAAACGTGCGGGTGGCAGTGCGCGTGAGACCCTTGGTGGGATCAGAGGTAAGAGAGGAGGAGGAGGAGGAGGAGGAGGAGGAGGAGGAGGAGGAGGAGGAGGTGGTGGTGGTGGTGGATGAATGAGGATGGTGTGAACATTAACATGAAGTAGATGCGGTTGCAGTTGTTGAATGACGAGATGGTGATGTTATAAAGGAGATTGATGGTATGTTGATAGATGAAGTGGTGGTGATAGATCGACAGACCGACAAATAGGGATGGAGAGAGATTGTGTGACAATGATTGAGGCAAGGTTAGGGAGAGTCGTAGGGTTTGTTTGTGAAGCAGTTTCACAAGAGAAGGCGAAATTATGCTATTCTGATGTTTGGGTCCACCAGATTGACCAGGCCTGTGGGAGGTGTGTGGAGGTTGCGGTCAACGAGCCGCAGGTTGTGATCGGGGGAGAGAAAACTTTCACATTCGACGAGGTCTTCGACTCCCATGCTCCCCAGCAGGAAGTTTACAACAAGACAGCCCAGCCTCTGCTGGATTCCTTCTTCGAGGTCAAGGAGGAGCCTCGCCTCCCCTCTTCCATCCCCTCTCGTCTTCGCTCTTCCATCCCCTCTCGTCTTCGCTTCCTCCCGTGTTCTCCTCCCTTTCTGCCCTCCCCTCCCATCCGCCTCTCACTCATCTCCAGGGCATCAACGTGACTATCTTCGCCTATGGACAGACCGGTATGTTCTCTCCACTCTACTCCCCTCCTCTCTCCTCTCCTCTCCCTCACCTCCCTGACTGCCGCAGGTTCTGGCAAGACCTTCACCATGGGCACCAACAGCCGGGCAGCGGAGGAGAACGAGAGCGTTGGGATCATTCCAAGTGAAGCTGAGATGCGGGAGAGGAATGGTCAGCTGACCCCCAGCAGGAATGGTGGGAGAGATCTTCTCGCGGATCAAGGAGGAGGAGAAGGATGGGAACTGCCGTCACCTCTGTAAGTAGTTCATAATGTGCAGACGTGTCGTCTGATCTCTGTGCCTCCATCTTGCGTCATGGAGTCCTGCATGTGCGACTGACTGGCTGCTGACAGTGCGAGTGAGCTTCCTGGAGATTCACAACGATGACATCCGAGACCTGCTCGACCCCAGCTCGAAGGTGAAGCATGACACGAGGAAACAGAAGAGACGTTCATGACCATGAGGAGGATGAGGGGGGAGGCAGGAGGAGGAGAAGGTTGACGGTCAGTCTTGCAGGTCTGCTCGCTCCGGGAGGACAACACAGGAGCTGTCATCGTAGCCGGTGCCTTCAACTTACTCGCCATATCCCAGCTGAGCGTCAGCAGGCCTCGAAACTTTCCAAACTTCCTCTGCTGACGACGTGATGTCATGGCTGCACAAGGTACCCCCACTCTCTCCCCTACCCCTACCCCTACCCCTACCTTGCTCCCCTCCCCCCTCCTCTCCTCTCCTCTC